TAATTCCTTCTGTGGACTTCTTCAAATTTGGGTGTTTTGCTTTATGTTATTGTTACTGATGTAAAAGGACTATAGAAAGTGCTGTTGGGGTCACGGTCTGTACTTTATGTATAATTGATAAAATACTGTGTGTGCTACAGAGCTGACGAGGTACCTGAGAGTATTAAATCTTAAGGACTAAAGATGACAGTGCTGGAGCAGTTTGGCTTTGCTTCATCTGTCTGTTTGGTTTTTTTGATGTTTTGGATTTTTTTATCAGTTGAGAGAATGCTCTTCACACATTATTGTTTTCACCTAGTTGAACACTTGCAGTATATAAATACTCTAAACTCCCTGTATAGCAAAGAATTATTTTAATGAACTGAGTATTCATTTCTTGCCTGTAGGAGAAAGCAGTGGATCCTAAAACGCGTTTACTTCTGTACAAGATGGTCAATGCTGGGATGCTGGAGACAATCACAGGCTGCATCAGCACAGGAAAAGAATCTGTTGTTTTTCATGCATATGGAGGAAAGTAAGTATATTGTTTGTTACTGACAGTAGCCTTAAGTACCAGAGACGGCTTAAAAAGCGGAAACTACAAAAATATTTAAACAATTTGCACTTTTTTAATTCCCAAGACTTAACATTTGTATTCATGTACACGCAGATAATAATAAAATCTGAAAAGCAGATGATACTAACTGTAAAGTAAAAAAATCCCCACTTTCCTCCTTGGAGACCATTTAATGAACGGGGAAAAATCCACTGTAGCTTTCTGTAGGAAAATATGTACTCCTTCTGTAAAAGAGAAGTCTTGAGATTTTGAGGAACTCTTTCCACTGACCTGTCTCACAATACAGAGGTGTCATAATGACCTTAGGCTACCTGAAGATTGGCTTTCCACACAAATCGATGCATTATCAGCTCCATCTGTGCAGTTCAGTGGAGCTGCTGTTTGTTTACCTTGAGAAGAATATTGGGATGCTATTTGCTTTGCAAGTCATGCAAGAATCTACTTTTAAAGACTACCATGCCAGAAGAATTGTAGTACATTAGTAGTGATTGTAGTGCATTGAAACGCCACTAGTTTAAAGTGAGTTAAGAAAGAACTAATAAAACCCAAATACAGGTAACATATTTAGAGATAGGAGAGAGAGGCAGATTGCGGCTGAGGAGAAAAGATGCTTCTTTTTTAATTGAACTTTGCTTGAATGATGTTCAGGAGTGTTCTTTTGCTTAGTGTTGTTCAATGGGGAATATCTTTGTGGTGCTGAACAAAACATTGCAATACTACCATTACTGTTCTAATGCAAGACTTTTTTCACTTGTAATTTCTCGAAGCAAGTACATCCATTAACAGGGCTTATTAGCTATGACACTTAGGTAAAATATTAACAAATTGGCAGATGGAACCTATTTGGTAAGCAACATGTAATGAAAATGCCAAAGCCCCCAAATTCATATATAAGCTTAATCATAGAACTCTTGTAAAACTTAACTTGAATTTGCTTCCAAATTTGATAGAAAATCAGATCTTTTCCTCTCTTGTATTAAAAATTGCTATATCTTGCGGTGTTTATGAAAAAACCTAAATATGCATTTGTAAAGATGTGAATAGTTAACTTTGTTATATATTTGACTTTTTCCATGAGAAGTGCAACTGAAGATAAAGTTATGCTTCCAGAATGTGCCATCAAAGTGTTTAAAACAACTCTCAATGAATTCAAGAACCGTGACAAATACATTAAGGATGACTACAGATTTAAAGACCGCTTCAGTAAATTGAATCCACGAAAGGTTATTCGTATGTGGGCTGAGAAAGAAATGCATAACTTAACAAGGTAAAGAAAAAAATAAGTGTAGTTGCCAAATGTCTGTAGGTTTCCTCGTCTCTGTTTAAGGACGTTACGCTACATCTGGGTAGAAGTTTAGATTTTGTTTTTAGGCTGAACAATATATAACCTGGTGCAGATTGAATAATGAATTACAGTTTAATGAATTGTCAGCATTTTCAGTGATTAGGCAGCAGAATTTAGAAGCCAATGAAACTAACAGACTCTAGCTGTAAAAGTAATTAGCTTTCATTGAGCATTTTTAGACCCACTTACGACTTTAAGATTTGAATTTTCCTATGTGAAATATTGTGACTTTTTGACTCTGGGTAAAGTTTCTCACACGCAGCTCTCAAAGATTGGAAATAGGCAAGCAGGAACTAGAACTGTAGGATTGTGGGGTTTTTTTTTTTGTTTTTTGTAATAGGTATCTGTTTTCTGATCCACAGAATGCAAGATGCAGGAATTCCTTGTCCTCAGGTGGTTATCCTTAAGAAGCACGTCTTGGTTATGTCTTTCATTGGCCAGGATCAAGTCCCAGCTCCTAAACTAAAGGATGTAACACTTAGTAGTGAAGATATGAAAAAGGCCTACTGTCAGACTCTTAATGTAAGACAGTGCTGATTTCTCCAATTCTGGGTTGTGTTTTCTTTTAGGGGAATAACTTAAAGGACAAATCAGTATTTATTTACTTTTCAGGATGCTTGCATCACTTTCAAGATACGGAGTCCAAAGTCTTATTTTGCTGCTGTTTAATGTGTGACTTAGAATAAATAGGAAATTATGCACTTAAAAAAAAAAATAAATTGAATCTCAATCTGAGTAGAAAACATGGTGGAACTTGATGACAAATGGATATTTAGCAGCAGAGAAACTGTGAGGAAGTAGTCCTCCTTTTATAGAAGCAGTATGTGGTTTAGAGAGTTCTCAGAATGCTTTCTGGGCTTACCGAATGCCTAATGTACAATGCTTAAGCACTCTCCCCTCCCCATCCCTCTTTTTAACAAATCTAGAAATCAGAGAATGAATTACAGTATTTCATGGTGGATACTTCACTTTCTATTGTCTGCTGTAATTGGTTCAAAACATGTACCTGCTAACTGTTGCTTCCTACAGCCATTAAAAAACCCCAACCAACCAGCCCAGCAGCTTGATAATGTGAGTGGGCTGTGCCTCAAATCTTGAGACCAGTAGAGCAACACGACCATGTTTTAAATGAATGTGCATGCTAGCTAGGATTCAGTATCTGAAATGGTGCGACTTCTTTCCTGTGTGATAGGGGTGAGAATGATGGGTATATTTAGAGAATGTGTTTATCTGTTTCATGCACTTGAACTGGTTGGCAGAGCTGACATGAGTTTACCAGACTGATTCTTCTGACTTGCCAAAGCTAAGCTCAGTGATAAAAGTTTAGTTTGCTGGCAGTTTACCAAAACTATGATTTCCTGTATGAAACTTCATTGAAGGGTTGGAAGAAAATCGTGTAATTTGGGTGGGTTATTGGGGAGAGGCTTTGTTTTGTTATAGTCGTGCAAACTGTTTATTTGGAGTATAGCATACTTCATTCATTCGTTTTGTTCTTTGTAGATGATGCAACAGTTGTATAAGGAGTGCAACCTGGTCCATGCAGATCTGAGTGAATACAACATGCTTTGGCATGATGGGAAGGTGAGTATATTCTTAATGTGGGAGGGAAAGGTTTCATCTAATGTGAAATGTTGATAGAAAGTGAATTGTTGTCTCTCTGTGACTGCAGGTCTGGCTCATCGACGTCAGTCAGTCTGTGGAGCCAACCCATCCTCATGGACTGGAGTTTTTGTTCAGAGACTGTAGGAACGTTTCACAGGTAGGACCCCTCCATCTGACAATCCTCTGTTATGGTGAATGTTTTCCAAGATAAAACCAATTCAGAGCTAACTAAAAATCGTCCAGTACAACTCTGTAAAAAACTATCACCAACACCTATATATATAAAAGACTACTCTTGCATATTGTCCATACCGATGGTGGCGTTCTCCAAAAGGGGAAAAAAGTGTGAAAGAACAAAACGGCACCACTGGAACTTAAAACTTCTTTCAGTTATTTTTTTATCTGTAGGTCAACAAAAGCAAAAATGTCATTTTGACTAAATGTTGTAACTTGGGGAAGGAAAAGGAGTATTTTGTTCTGGTTAATAAAGTGTTTAATGTGTGCTTTTTGTGTTGACTAGTTCTTCCAGAAAGGAGGTGTGGCAGAAGCGCTTAATGAGCGTGAACTCTTCAATGCTGTCTCAGGTTTAAATATCGCAGCTGACAATGAAGTAGACTTCCAAGCAGAGGTATAGCTTTCTCTGTGTCTAACACTTTATAGTTAGTTATAGTAGCTATCATAATATCTTAACTCTCCCAAAACGTGATTGTTTTGAGCTAGTACAAATGTTTTCAGAAACTTAGATTGACAGACCTCTCTACCCTCTTTCCTGATCTGCCTGCTCCCAAGTGTAAAGGGCTTCAAGTCGCATGTAATTGCTTCTTTCAGTGTTAAGGG